TGTTGTATTAGGAGAGGTGCATGACTGATGCAGTCTGGGTGGACTAGTAAAAGTACAAACGTCGGAATGGCCAGGTGGACAAAACGGGTGTGGGTCCTTCATGCACAGGGGTGAATGAGCGTATGGCCCAATGTGACTGACAGTCACGCCGTGAAAAGGCCGCTACGACTAAGTTATTGGGCGTGAATTAACACGATTCACTAAAGCATCATACTTTACTATGACGTCGTTAGACAATATGCCGTTTGGAGGACGCTGTAAAACTCAGGGAATCAAAAGAGGAAATCCTTGCCCCGGCAGATTTTCATCTCTCTCATTCACTGTAAAATAAGTGAGTGCAAAAACTTTTACCCCGTGGGAAAAGTTACAAAATACCTTACAAATTTCTTAGAAGAAAACGCACATAGGGTCCACAAATAAGGAATTCAAGAACGTGCAAAATGTTGGAAGCCGGTACTACGAATTGATAAAAACGCATATTCCGAATTAACAAATATTGTTTTTCATGAAAATGCACTTTATTTGCATATGAATAACCATCTTGCTAATCTGACACTTCAGATATAGCACAAAGAACAAGCAAGTCTTATTCGTTTCGATTAACGTGAATTGGTGTTTACTTAATATTTATGGATTTTTTGCATCGCTCTGTTTAGTTTTTGATTGACCAAACAAAGTCTCAATAATTGAAACTTACTTGGGAGGAAAGATTTAACATTTAACCTAGTAGAGCGGTGCATTCGTCACTCCAAAGGGTATGAGCTGACTTCAGCTTATCTTAGTGGTTTATTTCACATAAACTGCTTGCTGTACACTTACGCGTACATTTGAAAATTCAGAAGACTCATTCAAAATCCTTATCAAAACACTGCTTTGAACTTTGAACAATAAATACATTGTCCATAACCGAAACGCATTCAGCCTATCATCCTAATGCGTTGCCGAACTCAACGCATTAAGCTTCTGACCGTTTAGTTTATCACATAAACGGACAAATCTTCGGCTGCGTTCGTGACTTTCTGGCGTTTTGTTAAATCACGAACTAGGTCGCGTTTAATCAGGTGAACAGATACCACGGAAATAACATCACTAGTACAATGCTGTTTTTCACATAAAATCATTGTCGGGTCTTGGTTACAGTTATATGTCCTCTAATATGTGTTCTTGGGCAAAGCATCAAGGCGTTTCATTATCTGAACCCAACCGTGCCATTTACATAAGGATGTGAAGTAGATAGGTGTAAACTTTGGCCGTGTGAAATGTTGAGACTGCGAAACTCATTAATTCAGACACAAGCATTAGTTTTCTGAGAAAACTGATTAAATTATTGATTTTGACAATGGGCTAGCATACTTACTGCAAAATGAATGTTTTTAATAATTTTATTCTCAGACCTTCGGGCAACCTGGATAAATGCATGGTGCCTCGAACTATTTATGCCAGATAAAATAAATGTTAGGAATCAGATTTTGAATTGTACGTTTGCATAAACAACGAGACAACCGGCTATAAATTGCCTTGAAAATAGTAAAAGTTTGATGAGCTCACAATCCATTAAGATGAGAATATGCTTAAAAGGGGAAAAAATCTGCTTTGCAGTAAATTGAAACATTTGTTTCTTATTTTTAAAAAAATAAAGTCTTGATTTCTCGCTTAATCCATTGAGGGATGTATTACCGAAGACCTACATTACGCTTTACGCATTCCACTATTTAAAACTAACAGAATTTTCAATGCTCAAATGAAACATTGATGGCTTTTACCAGATATTTACATACAACACTCAAAGGTACCAAAACTTACGAGTAGGGTTACTTGCTTAGATCTTACATTAAAATCTTACATTTATTTGGCTTATCTGTAATTACACCTGGAAATGCACCGAAGTAGGATTTAGAGCCCGGATTAAAAAAAGTATTTGTCAAGATTTCTTTTCGCGGGTGATTTTTGGGTGTACCTAGTGGCCGTACCTGCATATTGTTAGAATGCGTTTTCTGGGGTTTTAAACTTTTTTATTGGTACCTAGTAAATCTCTCATGCACAATAATTTGCATCCACTACAGACAATAACGTACCTTACTGTCTTTCTATATTTCAGTTCCTTAAAATCGCAAACTGAACTGATAGTCAAAAACTGGTAGCACGTCTCTACATGTTTATTTGATTAAGGCTTGCAGTGGTTTATCTTGTGGTGGGCCACAGCATGTGGTCTTGAACCACGCCGGGGCACAGAATTAACCTTGGCCCGATTACGCTTCCCTGATACCCGCGACGAGGAAAAAGACCGGAGAGGACGTGGACACAACCGTTTACTTCAGAGCTCAAGCACGTTGATGTCATTGTGTCGTGTGTGGGATTTGTGCGTGTGTATTTATACCTCGGATGTGTGAGTCATACGTGCGCTAACATCGAGACCTATGTGTGGGGACACTCCAAGATAAATATTCGGACTAATGAAGGGGGAGTTGAGGATTCACGCGGCTGGCGACATGCTGCGACAAGGGGAACCCTGTGTAGGAGGTGGAGCGACCGGATTAAGGGGTTGAAAAACACGATTCGCAACAGTCTGTTGCGATATGCCAGATAATTGGTCTAGTGACCACTTCAAGTTCTTCAAATTTGGAACCTAACTTTGCATTTCAAAACATGCACCTCTAGTCGGGTAGTAATAGGCCCTATTTTCTTCAGTTGCAGACTGTCTAGAGCGTTGGCACACGTTCGGAATTGCGTGAAATCTTGCTACACAGCAACTCAAGGGTGCAGTTTTTGATCCAAATAAACGAAACTAAAATTCTTTATCGGTTTCAGTTTAGTGCAGGGGGATCCCTCAAAGGAATTTCCATTGGCTTCACGCAGACATGCATGAGACTACTGCTGCTGCAACGTTTAACACATACACACATTCCAACAATGCAGGCTGCACTGTGACGAGCGCAGCTGGGCTGCTATTGGGTGTGGCTTCGACGCTTGCAAGTGCTGAGGGCACTGCGGTGTATTCATCAATCGATCAGATTATCGACACACCATTGGCGTGCTTTCATTTGTAATTATGCAACCACATGATCCACCGTCAATGAATCCAAAACAGTTAAATTTTATTATACTTAGTATTCACTTTGATTGGTCCTTTACATGAACATGAATGTAATTCACAACAGTCAGTTTCCTGTACTAATTGTGGCATAAGGTGATGTCCCATGATACCAATGGTTTCCGATTGTCAGAATACTTTCGGCCAGTTTCCCATTTCATGCGAATTGGTCAAATCATCTTTCACTAGCGAATGCACACAAGGACATGAGCCTTTTTACAACTTCGCCTAGTAAAATTTTGGTTGGTTCTCAATGTCAGTAAAAACACCCATAGATGAAAGATACAGTAAGAAAAGAAGTAATGGTCGTTGTCCGACCCTGTATTCGAAACATCGATTTAAAATACCACTTCGTGTTCAGTTTTGGACATTGTTGCAATATTAACACGCCGATAAATTCAACGGGGCTTAAGGAGAAATCATAAATTAGCAGAGAAAGTCACACCAAGCAATGACTTATTTGCTGACCTTAACCTCACGTAAAGTCAGTTACATCAGATATAAGGACTGAAGCTTTGAGAATTTCACGGAGCACATCAATGGAAACTCCATGTTGTGTTTTAGAAAAGGGAAGAACACTTGATATTTAAACCAAGCTATCGAAACCACTTACATAACACTGAAAATGGAGACCAGGCCTTGTAAAAAGCGATTTGGTGACTTCATGACTTGCTACAGATGCTCTGGATATAAATTCAGCCTTCGATTATCACAATAATTGACATTGCATTACTGATCTACACCACGATCTTCATTGCTTAGACAACACATTCACTCACGTCTGCAAACGCCATTTGCTACGACGTAACCCAAGTGGTTAAGAAGCGGTATCCCCTAAGCGCTTGCCCTCTACACCATCGCGTTATACCCCGCCGTTTCGTACCTACACAATGGGCACCACATTCTGATCCACAGCTGCAATCCTTTAAGTAAAGTTGACATCCAACGCCTTAGTTTATCCCTGGGGTGTGCTACGGGAGAAGTTTACCACCAACCAAATCATGAGGAAGAATTAAAAACGTACCTGTCACCACACAGGGTAAGGCTTTCTGTGAGGCTTTTTAATTCGTATAGTATACCCATAATTCGTCACCGTGTTGGCAAGCGACCAGCGCAAGCAGCATTGAGGAGGTTTAACGATCAAAACACACAAACTCGATCCCCAAGCCAACTTTTAATTGAAGCCAATTAGTTTACTTATTCGTAATACAGCAAGACAAAAATAATTACTGAATGTACTATCAACCCCGCATGTCTTGTGTAGGTCGAACTGTACACGGAATCCATGCTGCCATCACGCATCCTAGGGAATTTAACGCAAGTACGCTGAGCACCAACGCAGATTTTGCTCGGCACTTCACAGGCACAAGAAAAACGATAGCTACTCCCAAGACTGCAGGCAATTTAAAATTAATTCAACCCAACGTGCGAAATCACCATCGGTGATTGTCTCGAGTGATAAGCTCACTAAATAGCCCCAGGGCACTTTCAAACGTCCACAGGAATGTGCAGTGATAAGTTTGCGCCCCAAGAGTCCAAACGTGACATGGACTCAAATGCAGAAATATATCGCTTGTGAAGCGCCACACGTAGACATTGAGATTTAATTCCAGAGGCCAGGTACGACATTAGTAAGAGGTACAAAACATCTAATTCATTAAACAATAAGTTTACTGGCAAACAGCGGAGCAAAAGGCCAAGATGGGTTATTGTATACTACATAGTAAAGAGGAATCAGCAAAAACTACACAGTTTCTGTGAGAGTAATTGACGAAATGCCACTGCGCGAGAACCGGGACGGGGTATATCAGAAGTTAAAGTAACAACTAAAAAAGAGAACACGGGATGAATATGAGTTACACAAAACACGCTGCTATGGCGAAACCCGACGAACCCCGTAGTGGCCGACTCAGTAAGAGCGGATCTTTGGAGGGACAGGCGGACAAACATTTGGGTCCAGAGTCTTGTCGATGACAGGTCGGTACTCCAACTTAACAGCACCAGTTTTGACATTTTGGTAACAGAGAGTATGTTTTCTCCAGTGTTCAGACATTGGTTTTTTGGTTTGGCCTTCGATTGGCTTGGAGTAGTCGTATTCATCAACTCTCGTGCGGAAATCTTCGCGAGCATGAGCGCCACGAGACTCCTTCCTGGCTTCAGCGGCCACAATTGTCTGAACCGCGTTGATTAGAAGGTTTTGTAGCTCAATTCCTTCAATGAGGTCCGAGTTCCAAATAAGGCTCTTATCAGATACCTTCAAATTGTCATATTTGTCAGCGTACAATTTCAGCATTTTCCCAACACCAGCCTTTAAAACGGGGCCGTCGCGGAAGACAGCGGCATGTTCTTGCATGGTACGCTGCATTTCCAGGCGGACCTGCAATCGAAATTAAATATAACTGCCCAGAAAAGCATATAATGTAAACAAGTGGATAAAGACATACATCGCCGACGGGGAACTCGCCCTTGCCGTTGCGGAGCTTATCAATGTTGGCAACAGATTCCATCCCCGTTTCTTTGTGAAGTTCAGGACCAGCGTCTCCAGGTTTGCACTTTTCTGCAATATCGAGAGCACAAGCGCGACCGAAGACAACGAGGTCAAGCAATGAATTGGCGCCAAGACGGTTAGCACCATGCACAGAGGCGCAAGCAACTTCACCAGCAGCATACAAACCAGGAACGATCTTGTCTTTTCCAGTGGCAGCATCGTATGTGATAACCTAAAGAAGAGGTACCTACCATCAGAGCAAATGATGGCGGAATCGTATATCAATGCGAAATCTAAGAATACCTGTCCTTTGTAGTTAGTTGGTACACCACCCATGTTGTAGTGGACAGTGGGGAGGACGGGAACAGGTTCCTTCGTCACATCAACGCCTGCAAAGATTTCGGCAGTTTCAGAGATACCTGGCAAACGAGATTTTAGAATTTCAGCAGGCAGATGATGAAGTTTGAGATAGCAATGATCTTTGCGGGGGCCAACGCCGCGACCTTCACGGATCTCAATTGTCATAGCACGAGAAACGACGTCCCTGGATGCCAGATCCTTGGCGCTAGGAGCATAGCGTTCCATGAATCTTTCACCTTCGCTATTAATTAGGTACCCTCCTTCGCCACGACACCCCTCAGTGATAAGACATCCAGCGCCGTAAATACCTAGAATTGAAAAAAAAACAGATAATCACCACAAAAAAGGATAGTGAAAGATTCACTCGACTAACCAGTAGGATGGAACTGTACGAACTCCATGTCTTCGTTGGGGAGGCCAGCACGGGTTACCATAGCAGTTCCATCTCCGGTACATGTGTGTGCCGATGTGCACGAGAAATAAGCACGACCGTAACCGCTACACACAAAATGGGGTTTAATGAGGATTAAAAAGCACACCATAACTCGTTAATATGTGAACTTACCCAGTAGCCAAAATCGTGTTTTTGGCGCGGAAGCGATGGATGGTGCCATCCTCAAGGCATATGGCATTAACACCTCGACAAACACCATTTTCCATTAGAAGATCAAGTGCGAAGTACTCAATAAAGTAATCAGTGTCATAACGAAGGGAGCGCCCATAAAGTGTATGCAAGAGCGAGTGACCAGTGCGATCTGCAACAGCACAACACCGGTGAGCTTGACCGCCCTTGCCGTAATCAAGGCTCTGGCCGCCAAAGGCACGCTGATAAATTTTGCCATTTTCGAGACGACTAAAGGGCATTCCGTAATTCTCAAGCTCGATAACGGCCTTGGGGGCTTCTTCGCACATGTAATGTATGGCATCTTGGTCACCAAGCCAATCGGAACCCTTCACCGTATCAAACATGTGGAACTTCCAGTGGTCCCTTTCCATATTTCCTAGTGCGGCATTAATGCCACCCTGGGCAGCAACTGTGTGAGAACGGGTGGGGAACAGTTTGGTAACACAGGCAGTTTTAAAGCCCTCGTTAGCTAAACCGAAAGCAGCGCGAAGACCGGCTCCGCCAGCACCAACAACGACAGCATCGTAGGTGTGATCGATAATTGTGTAATCCTTTCCTACCGTTGAAATATGACGTGCGCCACCGGCAAGAACCGGGGCACAGGCGGAACGAGAAGCGAAACAAGACAAGCCAGCACGCAAGATGGAAGCCATGACCAAACTCGACTGCAGTCGCGAATGGAATTAAACGCCATCTTTTAGGTTAGTTCAAATAAACAAATAAACATGTTTTGTTTTAGCCATTACCGAAAACAAGATGTTAGGCAGAAATTAAAATATGTATGTTTTTTTTACGACAAGGAGTTTTGCATTAATATAAATGTAAACTTTAGGTTTGAAAATATTAAGGTCATCAAAACGGTTTTAGGCAAATAATAACCAGGTATAACTTGTTTAAAAGAGAAGAGTTATACCCTTTTTTATTATCTACAATATTTTACTGCTATTAAGCAAAAAATTAGGTTTTGGGTGCCATTATTCTCCAAGTGTAAATAAATATCGAATACCTACATTACCAAATTCCTTGTGGAAGACTCTAAAATCTGCATAGTATACAGTAGTGACGCCAATGTGATATGAATGCATATTTATTATTGTCAGCTGATCTGTACTGATCAAGCTGTGTATCTTTTAAAAGACCATTTTCGATTGATTCCTAACAACATAAATGTACACATTTTCCTGCAAATTAAACAATCAATCAGGAAATTAACCGTTCGGTTAGCGTGATAACCATGAAAGAACCTAAAGTGTAGCATAATCGATCGTTAAAAATTCCTTTATCTGTTACAACAATCACAATGGAAGAGCACTTTAATTACAAGACCTTGTTGAGGACAGTTATTGGACGTGAATCAACACGATTCACTACAGCTCTCCCCCTTGGTAAAAGGG